GGGGCTCGATCCCAGGACCCTGGGATCATGACCTGAGCCGAAGGCAGACACTTAATGACTGAGCCACCCAGGCGCCCCTTCAATTACTTTTCGACCTAAGAGACCCTCTAGGCAGCAGCTCCCCACTGCCCGCCCCCGCCCCAGGCCCTTCTTCCCTGTGCTGACCCCCTCCTGGTCCTGTCCACCTAAGGGCCAGCCCAGGGGAGGCAATGTATGCTCCTCGGCCCCACCCCGGCAGCTGTCTCTGTGCCTGGGACCTCCCTCTCCTTCTGCCTCCCCTTTGGGTAACACTTGGTCTGCTCCTGTCTGGGCCTCTTGCCTCTTCTGTGACTGATAGGTTGCCTCCCCTGCTTCTCAGGGCTGTGGGGAGGATTCATGAACTGGTAGATGGTGGAGCGCAATGTGTATGGGACTGTCCCTACAAAGCAAGGACGAGGCTTCACCGGAGGCATTTGCCATGTGTGGGGGCAGCTCCAGGGCGTGCACTCTGCTGCCCCTGCAAACCAGGCCTCGCTTAGATGATCACATGAGTGTGTTTGCACCATGGTTGCCCCGGTGTGCGGGCTGGCTCCCGTCTGCATGTGGCCAGAGTTCCACTCCTGTCCCGTGGCCCTGTGCCTGTGTGTGTCGGCATCTGCTCATGAGCACTCGGGCCTCACACAGCCCTTTGCTTCCCTCCCAGGGCCAGTCATGGTTTCCCTGAGGCCCTGCTCCGAGCTGCTGAGCCCCCAGCCACTGCTCCCAGAGAGACCCCCCTCCGTCCCCACGGCCCCCTCCAACCAAACAGGGAAGGTGGTTGTAGAAGATGGCCGGAGATCCTTCTCCCTGCTGGAGGAGCAGGTGCCCAGGCAGGCAGCAGCTGAACACAGGCCAGAAGAGAAGACAGCTCGGCTCACAAACGGCTTTGACATGGAGTGTCCCCCACCAAAGACAGAGAACGAGGTGTGAACGAGGAGGGTGGTGCCTGCACTGGGATGGTGGGGAGAAAATGAGGGGTGACAACAACCAGCTGTGGGGCCTGGCCTGGCCGCTTGACTCACTCTGTGACTTCATTCACCAAACAGGCAGTGAGCGCTGTATGTCTGCCAGGATGGCGGGTTTACATGCAGATGGCGGAAAACCATCTACAAGCTGCAGAGGGTTTGATTTGGTGTTAGAGTCCCTCCCAGTTCTGACCCTAGGATTTTCTGCTTCAGAGTCGACATTTGTTAAGTGCCGACCGCGTCCCAGGACCTGTGGTGGGCACTGTGGTATATCCCCTGACTGAACTCGCCCCCCATCCCTGGGAGTCAGTATGGAGTGGCTAAAAACACAGGGGCCGCCGTCTCACAGAGTTCTGAGCCTGCCTCTGCTCAGCATCAGTGACGGGAGGCCCTCAGAGCCAGGGGCTGGATCGTTCTTAGCTTCAGCTTCCACAGTGGCACAGGTGGGGGTGGGGGGCGGTGCTAACACTACCCCCTCGTAGGGGTGTGGTGAGCATGCAGAGGCTTCTCGAACATCCTCAGGGGGAGCGCCCAGTCTACGGCCATACCACCCTGAACGCGCCCGATCTCGTCTTAGGGGGAGCGCCCAGCATCTGCTGCGATTCTCTACAGCGCAGCAGTGATGCTAGTGCCCAGTTCATTTTCTGACCCCCAGTTCCTAGAGGAGGAAATTGAAAGTCAGAGAGGATGAGTAACTTGCCTGCGGTCACATAGTTTAGCTAGTTTAGTGGTGAAAACTCCAGTCTCCAGACTTCAGGGCCAAGCATCCTTTCCTCTAGTCCACAGGGGATCTAAGGAAGCAAGAAAAGGTCTGAAACATCGAGTTGTTTAAAATTTCCATTTATTGGGTGAAGAAGAGGGTTTATAAAGGCCCGCGCAATGGTCGCTCCCTCGAGCCTCAGCCGTGTTCATCGCCTCTACCTTTCTGTGTGAAAAGGGGGCAAGGTTTGGTCCTTTCTGCTGGTGTTCTGACCCCTCACATCCTGGGACATGGAGTGATCACTCCCTCTGTTTGTGCTTTCCCAGCTGCTGCAGATGTTCTATCGACAACAGGAGGAGATCCGAAGACTCCGGGAGCTGTTGACCCAGCGCGAGGTGCAGGCCAAACAGTTGGAACTGGAGGTCAAAAACTCGCAGATGGGCTCAGAGAGGTTCTGAGCAGAGACCTCTGCCTTCCCCGCCCTCAGGGACACCACTCGGCTCCATGGGAGGTCCAGAACCAAACCACAAGTCCCCCAAGAACAACCACTATTTCTATATTTTTTACCAGAAAACGAAAACTCTTGGTTGCTGAAAGATTCTAGTGGGAGGGATGTGGTGCCGTTTTTCTATTTGCCTTCTCAAAACAAGTGTCTGAATTGACTCTTTTTAGACAATAACTTGCCTTCTGTTAGAGCTGGAAGGACCTAAGAGGGGAAGCTGCCTGTGATTTTCAGACTGTGGTCCACAGAATGGGAGGAAGCCTAAGCAGAAGGGCCATGCCCCCCCTCCACCCTGCTCCAACCAGACAGTTCCCTTTCTTACTGATTTAAATATTGGCTTCTGTGGAATACATAATTCTTCTGAAAAAACCTTTAGAAGTTTGAAAAACAGTGATCTGGCCCAACTTCCTCATTTTACAGGTGGGGAAACTGAGGCTCAGAGAGAGACAAGTGATCAAGATCCGCAGAGGGTTCATGACAGGGCTGGGTCAAGCCTCTGGTCTGCTGGGTCTGTCTTTCTGCTGTTTCTGGTCTGATGCAGTCTCAGCCCACAGGGCAGGAATCCGTTTATTCTGGCCTCGGCTGTGCCCCTGATTTGTGCAGTGACCTCTTACAAGTCCTTCCCTCTCTGGTCTCAATTTCTCCATCTGAACCTGGGGTCGCTGGGGTGTGCTGCCCTCTACAGGATCTGCCACCTGCGATGAGAAACCTTGGCCGTGACCTGAGGAAAACTACCTATAGGGTGATGATCAGGGTCTGCTGTAGGAACTCACAAGACATTGGTGAACGGGCAGAGGAGCTTTAACTGCGGGGAAATAAGTCAAGCTTTGGCCCAGTGCTAGAACACAGATAGGAGGCTCCCACACCATCCTCTCTTCAACCAGAATCAGCCAAGTATGGGCAGACACTATCCCTTATGTGGGGGAGCAGACATCAGAGTGGTTCCCATGACCACGGACTGCCACCCCCAAAGCCCTCAGGCCACAGAGCCTGCCCGCTTCCGGAGGATGTAGGCAGATTTTGGTCCAGGAGGGAGGGAGCCCCAGCACTGAAGGATGCCAGCAGAGCCCCATGGCCACCCACTTCTGGAGAGGGAGGACTGCACTAGGCAAGGAGTAGGGCCGGGTGACCCTGAAGTTCCCTTCTAGCCTGAGAGTTTTTATATGTCCCTCCTTTGGGAGTCTGTGTTCTGAGCCTATTCGCTAAGGTTCTTTCTCAGTGGTCAGTACAGCAGCCTAGCTAGAGATGGAGAATGTTGGAAATTAAATGTACCCCCTCCTTACTGAGGAGGTGCAGGCGATGGGGTTTTGCCCACTGCACAGGGCAGTCCTGGAGCTAAGATTGGGACGGGAGGAGGCCACCTAACCTGGTAGGTTTCAATCCAGGCTGTACATGAGAGTCCTCTTAGGAGGGTTCGAGAAATACAGATGCCCAGTCCCAACCCCAGACCAGTTGAAGCTGCATCTCCAGAGTAGGGCCTGGCTTTGTGTATGTTGTTATAAGTTCCCAGGTATTCTGCAGTACAGTGAGGATGGAGAGCCACTGGGCTAGCCCATCTGTACCTAATTGCAGTAGAGACAAGGACAGTGAGCATCAGACAGGCTCCGGGACTCCAACCCCATCCTCTGAGTCCAGGTTGGAAGCGTCATCCCATGTCTCTCTGGGACCCCTGGCTACAACTCGATGAGGGCTCTGGACCCCTGAGCGCCCCCTCCCCTAGCCATGGTTCTGACCCCTTGTCTGCCTACACACGCCAGACACCCTCATCCCCTATCTTGTTGACTTGGTCACTGGGGCTCACCAAAGGCCAAATCCCAGGGGTTGTGAGGGAACAGAACTCCCCTGGATAGGGTTCCCTGGCACACCCAGCTCTAATTCTAACATGGGCCAGGCAGGCATCGTCCCCCTGGTCAGAATAATGACACTATCCCCATGTCATTCTCAGAGAATGAAGAAGTATCCCTCCCACCCGCACTGGCTGCAAACAGGAGGTGGGGGTGAGTCTGGGGAGCATCCCGAATGCCTCCTCCACACAGAACCTTCTCAAGCTCTCCCTACCCCTTAAGGGACCCAGACCTCATGCTTAAAAACAATGTGAAGGCATCCGTGAACAAACTTGTTTTTTGGGTTTGCTTTTTTTTAAACTAGAATAAATTATTTAAATTATTTCACAGCAAGGGAGAGGGATAGGTAATTTTTATCGAATATTTTTTTAAGCCATTTTTTAAAATTGCCTTTTTGTTTATGTTCTTGACTGATGAAGTAGAAGTTGCCCAGCATCTGTAGGGCCCGGCCCGCACACTCAGGGCAAATAGAATGTGCACTCATCTCTTTACTCCATACTCTGGGAGCCCCCTGACTGTTGACTCAGGAGCTTTCTGAGAATGAAGACAGCACTGGGAGATGAGCAATGGGGCTTATCCTTAGCTCTACAATAAATGTTCTTCCTGAAACTAAATTTAAGATTATATCATAGAGGGAAGAAGGAAATCAAAAATAGATCTATGCTTTTAATATGAAACCGTGCCTGAAATAGTTTGATTGTATTAATGTTTCTGAAGTTCCTTTTACCTTTGTAAAAAAAAAATTAAGAAATAAAAGTGAAAATAAATAGATGTGAAATCGTACAATGGAAAGAATGTAAGAAAATAATAAACAACATCTGCCTAGACATTTTAATACCTGGAGCTTTCCTTTTCTTGATTTGTTCTACAAATACCAATTAAGTATCTACTTGTTTGGGCCAGAGACCAGGCTGGGAAATAGATAAAACAGACTTGGTCCCTGCCCTCTGAAGTTTTTAGTTATGGTTGGAAGGAAGAGGAGGGCCAGGATGGGGAAGTGTGGGCTGCTCTGGGAGAGAAGCAAGGAAGGCTTCCTGGAGGAGGTGATATTTAGGCAGACACCTGAAGGATAAATAGAAGTAGGCAGGGAAAAGGGTATTTGGGGAAGAGAGGTCCCAAGCAGAGAAGACCGCCTATTCCCTGGTCTGGAAACAAAAGGTAGAGAGCATAGACAGGGCAGGGATCAAAGGTATTCAAGAGCCAAGGATAGGAACTGAGAATTTTTTTTTTCCAACTTTATTGAGGTAACGATTGACAAAAGTTGTATATATTTAGATGGTACATGACTTTTATTTTTTTTTTTT